GTACGAATAAAGTTGTGGCCTACAGTGTTTTACCCATAACAATGTGTATGAGTCCTTTGTGCCGATGCAAAAAGAAAAAGAGACAAGAATAGAGTCAGAACCATGAATGCAATTGTTCATTGATTAGTGTGCAAGGATATATAGAATAACTATAATAATCACTGCAGAGAAATATAATCCAACAACAACAAAGGAAGAACAAGACCTCTTCCACAAGATCCACTAAATCAAAGGAAAATTTGTACCAAGGGTGGGAAAGTTCTACAATCAGCAGAGTTGAGTTAAAATAAATACATGGTTGAGTTAAAATAAAAAGGTGATGGGAGCAATATGCAGAACAGCTATATAAAAGAGATGGATTTACTGGTCATTGACCAGAATAAATTTGTCTAAGTTAGGGGCTAAGCAGATGGGTGGCACGGGGCCGCCCCGGGAAGCTGCGGATCGGGGCCGAGGCAACTGCATTCCTCGGCCCTGCAGTGCAGCTTCGCCACCCCAGGAAGGTGCACTAAAATAGTGCTCCTTCCACAAATCACCGAAGGTGCACCGCAAAAGGTGGCCGGCGCACCTTCGGCGCCTCTTCCACTGCAGCGTGTGCAGACGTTGCAGTGGAAAGGCATCCTCGGAGCGCCGGCCATGTGGAGGGCCGGCTGATCCAACGACGTTTTCGGGAAGGGGTTGGGGCGCCCAGCATGCTTCCCCCCTAAAAGAAATGGAGGTTGAATGACACAAGGAAGAAGACTCATATGAAGATGAACCCCAAATTTTGAAAAGTGAAGCAAAAGCTGCACTCAGAGCATTTGGGAGGAATAAATCACCAGGAACCAATGATGTACCAACAGAACTGCTGCAGTCTACAGAGACAGAACCAACTTTAGTTCTAATTAAAATCTGCCAACAAATATGGAAAATAAAACAATGGCCCATAGACTGTAAATGATCAATATACATTCCTATTCCCAAAAGTGAAGACACAAAACACTGCAGTAACTACAGGATCATTGCATTAATTTCCTATGTGAGCAAAGTCATGCTCCAAATTCTACAGCAAAGATTCATACCACATATGGAGCAAGAAATTCCAGAGGAATCAGGAAAGGAAGAGGCACTAGGTATCACATTGCAAACAAATGTTGGAGAATGGAGTGCACCAGAAAATTCCAGAAGAAATTCAGCATGTGCTTTATAGAGTATAGCAAAAAATTATGGATTGCTTTTTTTTTTAAGTGTGCCACTATATTTGATTGTTCTAACGAGTAACCTATACTCAGAACAAGGGGCTACCATTATAAAAGAATACAGAGAAATAGAATGGTTCCCAATCAGAAAGGGAATCAGGCAAGGTTGCATTCTATCACCTTATTTGTTCAACTTGTATGCAGAAAATACCATATTCAGAGCAGGTTTAGATTTGGAAGAAGAAGGAGTGAAGATCAAAGGAAGGAATATCAACACTCTTAAGATGTGCAAATGACACCATACTACTGGCAGAAAATAGCAAAAACTTAGAACAATTACTAAGGAAAAAATGCTAAGGCAGGCTTATTCTTGAACATTAAGAAAACAAAAATAATGACCATGGAGGATTTACATGAATTCAGTATAGACAAATCTTGGATCAAACATTGATAAAATGGAGATTGTAGTTAAAAAAAAATTAGATGAAGACTATGAATGAGAAGGGCAGGCATGAAAGAACTAGACAATATCCTAAAGTGCAAAGATATACAACAGAACATTAAAGTCTGAATTGGCCAAGCCTTTATATTACCAGTCAGCATGTACGGATGTAAGAACTGGATAGTGGAAAGCTGGAAAATAAACCCATTTGAGATGTGATGCTGGAGAAGAGTACTGAGGATTCCATGGATGGCCAAAAAGACAAACAGATGAGTTCTTGAACAGATCAAGGCTGAACTCTCCCTGGAAGTCAAGTTGACAAAACTGAGGCTGTTGTATTTTGGGCACATCATGAGAAGGCATGACTCACTAAAAAAAGACAGTAATGCTTAGAAAGGTAGAAGGCAGTAGGAAGTGAGGAAGACTGCCTGCTAGATAGATAGACTAATCAAAAAGTACATGGCCCTGAGTCTGTGGCACCTGAGCAGAGCAACTGAAGATTAAGGTGCTTTGGAGGTGGCTCATTCACAGAATGACTTGAAAGCACACAACAGCTCTTAAACTCAACTTCAAATTATACTTCAGAGATAAGCACATACCTAGAACAATAGCAAGTGTTGGGACCTTCTACTTATTAAAGAGGTGCCCACAGTAAGCAGCACTTACTTTTCTGGAGTACAGCTTCCAGAATCCTCCAGCCCACAGGGCCAATGTCCAAAAAACTTCATCTGCATCTAAAAGGTTAAGAGAGCAAGAGTCATTTTGTAAATACCTGGCTTTCTTTGAAGACAATATAAGTCCATGGCTAATTACATTTCTTTTGGGAAACCATATCTGTCTCTTACACAAAACCTTTGTGTGAAAAGAACAGACAGGCCTGTGCATGCAGGGAGGCCATATGACTGGCATCTTGGCCTTTCTGAGGAGACAAGGTTAGCACGTAGGCCTTCTCTGTGCCACATGTCAGACTTTGCATAACATCGTGTGCCTTTTGTTGCTTTGATTAAGCTGAGACCTGCTGATGGCAGGCCTGCCAAACACACTGAAGGAAACAAGGCAGCCTAGGCAGGGTGATCTGTTTTGTGACTGTTGCACATACTCATGAAGACAGTTCCCTAAATTGGGCACTCCTGCCTGGCAACACCGTGGCGTCACCCTTAGTGACTGGTTTCAGTTAGAAAATACCAAATGAGTAAATGGAAATACAAATACTCTACATAAATGAGATGTGTAGGATTTTTTAAAAAAAATAATAATAATTAGAATACTGAGACTATCATTCAATTTCCCATTAGCCATGAAACTCACTGCATGAGCTCAACAGAGAGTTTCTCTACATGATTAAAATACTCTTCATTTAAATTGAATAGAATGTGATCGAGCCACTTGTAATTTAGAGGAATTTGGGCTTTTTGCAGGCAGGGAGGAGACCCCATAAACTCCACTGCATTATTGAAAATGTGGATGTCCATCCACTTTTCATGGATTCACATGGCTGTGCATTTCCAGCAGAGGAAGAGCAAAAGGATGCAAATTTGCACACGACAGCAAAGACAATTATGTGTTGCTGCAAATGTGCAAAAATTTGCAGCAATTCACATAATGCACTTACATGTAGACTAGACTAGCCCAGAGTCATCTCTCTCAATCCAACTTTGCTTATTCAGCCTGATGTACCTCACAGGTTATGCTGAGGTAAAATGTCCAGTATGACATTTGAAGAAAGAATGGGATAGACGCATTAATAAATAGTTCAGCTCCTGCCATCAGGCAGGACCAGGACAAATAATGAAGGGGAGAAATAATTTCAGTCCCACATAAAAAAAACAAGCATGCCCCAAGGAAATTTTCAATAGATGCAGTATACAACATACAGCAGTATACAACATACAGCTGTAGCCTTTTCTCACAAGGAAATCTACCGGTACTACTCAAAGAGGACTGATTATATTGCAGACTGCCAGAAATAGTGCAAATTGAGTCCACTTTTAGGGTTAGGGTTAGTGCTAGGGAATCATGGGGACTGTATTTTATTGTGGCACCAGAGCTCTCTGACAGAGAAGGCTATATGTCTCAGGGAAAAAAGCACAATTCCCATTGTGCTTGACTATCAATTCCTGTTCAATGAATACTCCATTTTAACTACTCCTTGGACAGGTGGGGGAATGTCTGCTGCAGCTGGATTATTTTCAGACCTTGGTCTCTTCAGAACAGACAATGGTTTTTAATGCAACCAGGTCTAATTTGCACTGCAAAAATAATGCTATTTAACACTGCTTTTACTGCCATTGTTCCATCCTATGGAATTCTGGGATCTGTAGTTGGTTGATGCACCAAACTACTAACAGAGGAGGATAACTATCTTATAAAACTACAGATCCTAGAACTCCATCGGATGGAGACATGGTGGTTAAAGTGTGTCAGACTGCATTTATTTCTGCAGTGCAGATAAGATGCAGGAGGTATAAGAGTAATGCATAACAGGTGAACAAATACTCAATACTTTAAATATGCACATTATAGTTGAGAGTTTGGATTTTATTGGTATGTTGTTTATTTGTTATCATATCCTATTATTACTTTAAT